GCAAATGTAATTGAATGTGACATATCTTATGGGATATAACATTCTGGATAAACAGTTACAGGTTTTTGAGGGTTATGAAAAATCTCTAACCCCAGATGAGATGCTCTTGAGTTTGAGCTTCTCTCAAAGTATGAAGGGGACACACTTTATACTTTATACACACTTCATACTATCATTATATACTTTACCTATATGGTATAAAATGCCAGTGAGAAAAGGGGTAAAAAACTATGAAACTCCAACTTATGCAAGAAATATCTGCTGACATTAAAATTTACACAAAACTTATCTCTGTCTTTTGAGGGAATTGGTTATTTCATTGATTTTAAAATTGTGTTAGAGTTGTGCACAGTTTGGGAGATGTGTGTTTACCAGAGCTATTAACTCTGTAAACCATTACAATATGTTATTTTCTGTAGTTATTATATACAGTAAAGCATTAAGTAAAGCACATAGTTTACTCCTTCGACTGTTGTGAACAGAGCATGTGAAATTCCTTAAGGCTTGAGGTGTATGATTCCTTGTGGGTAGTTTTATTCTGTTCATTTACTGAAGCACATATGGATTTGCATAAAGTAGAAGTATATCTCTGTGTTTGTCTTCAATTGTATAGTAAAGTTTTTAGTCTTAGAATGCTTATATCTTAATGAGCATTAATAAGCTTAATGTAGCTTATTATTAGCTGAGCTAGAAAAACAAATGGATCTCACACAAAGTATTTTTGGCTCTATCACAAACCTTAGTGACTGGAGAATGGGTTGTTTGGGTGACTGATAATGGGCATCTTTACATATGCTCTCTGGGTGGGGAGGGGGCTTTAATTAGATCAACTTTCAGGAGCCACTCTAATTAAAGCACACGCAGTGTCTTGTGTATTCAGTGTCCCGCACTTGAAAATGGCAGTAGGGGCACTTTAACTAAAGCTCTTTCAACGAGCTTTAGTTAAAGCACTGCCACTCCCACTGTCCCAGCCCTGGCCAGTATGCACAGCTCTCCGGCAGGGCTGTTGCCATTGCTACTGCAGCCATTCATGGGCTGCTTGGCTCCCCCACTACCAGCAGCTCCTCCTCCTGCCCCTGCTGTGCATCTCCAAGCAGCAATTAGCATAAGGAAGCAATGGCAGACAGGAGAACATGTGCTGGGCACCACACACCCAGCCAGGTGAGGGGGAAGTTGCTGGGTGGCTCCTGCCCCAGTTTGTGGGGCTCCAGCTCTAGCTGTAGCTCTAGCTTCTGACTGCCTTCTGCCCACTCAGTCATCTGGCGCAATGAGCAGCCACCTGTGGGTGACCAAATGAGTGAAAGGCAGCCCCCCTGGGAAGCTGTGCACACTGGCTGGAACAGTTACTTTGGTGGGTGCAAGTGGGAGTGCAGAGTGAGCTGCTCCAGGTGGGAGTGGGCAAGGCTCAGCCCCATGTGCAGAGCACTATGGGGGCAGCCACAGGCTGAATGGTGGGGGAGGGGGAATGCACCTGCATCACACTGCCTGGGCAAGCTCTGCTGCACATGCTCCCTGTCCTCCTCCTTCTTTCCCTCCCCCCCACCCCCTAGCTGGCTCCTGGGACCCAGCATGCAGGCAGCCCCACCATGCAGCACCCCACCCCCTACATA